GATTGAGCCCCACATTGGGCTCTAGGCTGACAGCATGGAGTCTGCTTAGGATTCTCTTTCTCTCTCTCTGCCCCTCCCTGCTCATACATCTCTCTCTCAGAATAAATAAACTTAAATAAAATAAAACAAAATAAAATAATATACAACAAAACAAAATAATCTGACTCCCCTCATGAAGCTGTCATGCTAAGAGCGATGCCAAAATAGAGCTTAAGGTCATCAGACTGAAGTGTCTCAGAACAAACATTACTTCATTCATTGTGCTACCAGAGTTAGCCTCTTTAATCTGCCATTAGAATGTTGTTTGTTTGTTTGTTTGTTTTGTCTAATAATTATCTAGTAGAATGGATCTTCGATTAAGTAACCTACCCACATTTCTGAAGATCTCTCATCTCTGGAAAAAGTAATGTTGCTATAAATTGGTGGGGTACAATGCCTTATTTCAGTTAATCTTAAAACAAAAAATACTAATTAGAAAAACAATTTAGTTGTATAACTTAAACTAAATCATGAAGCCTCCTGGAATTTCTCATGTCCTCCCTGTCTCCACACATAGCTCAAGAAGGATGATATGATAACCTGTTTCTCAATGGAACCCAGACTTTCACTGACATAGCAGATGGATCCAGTTGCCACTCTTCATATAGATCAAATATAAATATAGATCATATAGATCTTCATATAGATCAAATCCTGCTTCTCATCATTCTTCCAATCATATTACTTGCCTGGAACCAAACTCATCTGAATTACTTAGAAATGGTTTTAAAAATATTTCCCCACTTATGTTCAAATGGGGACTCAGATTGGTAGCGTGGGTATTAGATAACATGAGTGTTATGAATACATATTACATAGGGATAGAAAACTCTCCCTGTAAAAGAACAGAGGAGGTCATCTTATAGATATTTCTCCACTTTTCTGTATTTTATTAACATTTTGTCAATACATTTTGTGACATCTGTGTTAGGCTAAATTCAAGGATGATTTGGGACATGAAAGATCAAATACACAGGCACTTAACCTGTGACTAAAGTCAAAACGTCTGTCACTAATACCCAGGAATATTCCTTTCCCTAAAAGTCCTCTATTCTTATAGTGATAACATAAATATTAAAGTATCATGTACCTAGCAACTCTGTGAAGCCCTCTTTCAAAGGAGGTTATCTCTCGGCTCTCCTTAACAAAATGTCAACAATATATCTGAAAGTCAGCATAGTCTGGTTTTTGCTACAGTCATGCATTTATCTATAGATAACATATATATTTCTATGGAAACAAGAAATACAAATAAGAGCTCAAAAATGAAGTCTGTGTTCATTTTTATTTTTTTAATATGGCTTTTCCTTTTCTGGAAGTAAAAAATAATTTTAAAAAACTGATTAAGGGGAGCCTGGATGGCTGAGCTGACTCAGTAGCCAACTTTTGATATTGGCTCAGGTAGTAATCTCACAGTGGTGGGATCGAGCTCCGTGTCAGTTCCGGGCTGAGCATGGAGACTGCTTGAGATTCTCTCCCTCCCTCTCTCTAGCTTCCTCTTAAAATAAATAATAAACATTTAAAAATTTTTAAATAAAATATTGATATAAAATATAAGATGTAATATAGACTGCCATGAATAAATTTCTCATGTTAGAACCAGAATTCTCACTGGGAAGAAAGAAGATTCTAATGTGGAATGAGAGGTCAAGGAATGCTACTGGGGGGTAGGATCAGGACAGGAGTAATCAGTATGAATTCATGATGAGATACAGATATATACATTTATAGATACACACATAGCTGGACTTTTTCCTTTTATCTGCTAAAAGTGCCTAGTAGCAATGAGCACATCTAGCACCCAGATCTGAGTTTCTAGGTATTATCCTCCATGGAAAGGAACCAGAGACCCTAGGAGAAAGGAGAAATGGACTGGAGCTAGAAAGATACAAGACAAGTCTGGAATATCTTCTTATGCCAGAAACCGAGGGAGTGCTCAAAAGGATACAGGAGCCAGCTCGAAGGACTACTACCAGCCAAATCTAGAAGGTCCAGGCAAATCCAGACAATCTGAGTAGCAACACTGATGAGGTTAAGTAAGAAACCACAATCCATTACATAAAACAGAAACTCACGAGTCCATACTGATAGTATATAAACAATAAATAAGTAAATATATAAACTAAAAGGGACAGCTCTTCCTTACAGTAAAAATGCCAACTCATAAATATAGAGGAAGTGAAAAAAGTTTAAAGTTATCATTTTGCAGTAATGATAATATTCAATCAGTATCACAAACATGATATATAGAATACTTTATTTTCTTCTGAAATAATAAAATAAAATCCAAGACCTAAAGATGTATTTTCGTACAAGTATTCCTAGATAAAAATGAGGGTTATAATTAGTTTTAAGACAACTCTACTATGCTGTAATCACAATGGTAAAATTCTGTTCTGGTAAAATTGGTACTTTGTTAACACCAAGTTTCATAGTTTGAAAGAACACTCAAGAAGACTGATAAAAGGAAACCAGAAGGGCTCCTTTCCTCACGCAGAGCATATGTTACTTCTCAAGGAAGCATAAAACAGTTGTCTAACAGCAAGAAAGGAAGAAAAAAATTAACTATAGAGAAGGCAAACTAATCTCTAGAGCTTGAAATAGAGGAAAACAGGTGTGGAACTCTGGTTCTAGGTTTAAAATAATTTTATTTGAATTAATAATTACATAAAAATTAACTATATATCATTTTCTTGAGCAAAGGAAGAAGCCTAAGTCAGAATTAAAATACACTGAGAAGGGACAATTACAGGAATAGTACAAGACTCTATTGGCCCCTGCTGGCCTATATCATTAAGTTGTATACATACCATGGGTGGGTTTTATAGCATACAAATTATATCTCAATTTAAAAAAAATATACCTGCTGTCATTTACTGAATAGCATAACAAGAATTTGTACTAGGGTTTAAACAGCACTGCCCCCAGTGATATGCTGGTAAAATTTTAAAAACCAGTTAACTGGTAGAAAAAATGTTGAGCACATGACTTACAAATAATAAAAATCACAAGACTATTTATTGTAATTTCATACACCCACACTTCAGTGTGACTTGCTATTTCTTGCAAAATCCACTATCAGTTTTTATAATTATTTCACCAACATCAGTGTCACAAATTCAAACTATAAATAAATTCTTGATTTTCATCCAATTCAGCGAAGAAGTTGCTCACATTCATAACAGAGTGTAGTTCTGATATGAATGTTGGCTGATATTTTTGTTTCTATTAATGAGTAAGACACAAGTGAAACAATGAAGATGTATGCCAGAACTTCTCTTATTCTTCAATGATGTAAGCAACTTCTTTGCTGAAATCATGATCATTTTCAAATCTGAAAGAATATTCCCTCAATTTTGGGAGGCTATTGACTATGTGACGGCCACAGCCATCAAACATTTTAAGTTTAATCTTTATTAACATTTTTACTATCACTTTAAATCTGAAGACAATCATCAGTGAGTCAAGCTCTGCTCTGTATCATTTGACAATTCCCATAGTGTAAATATTCTCACCATGGTTGGTTTCAAGCCACCAATGTGACATCACTGAATGCAGGGTTGAGAAGAGAGTGCAGTATCACGCCACTAACTAGCACTGCCACATACAGATACGATAGACATAAATAATCTTATAAGCCCTGCTAATAGTAAAACACTGTAAAACGATTAGGAAGTGATGAGTTTTGAGTTTTTAACTTTTGTTTTTAAAATAATTTAAACGGAAGTTTGTGTAATTTGATTTTTAATAATAACAGTGTTTAACTTCCAGCTCATTAAATAGCTGATATTTTAACAACGGGTCTCATCAACCTAGTCTAGCACACAATAAATAAATGGAATAAATGGACCGCCCCTTTTACTAATGAGAAAGCTGAAGCTCCGAGAGGCTGTTACTAACCAGGCCTGGTCACACAGGACAGTGCCACCCAGGTCTATCTAATTCCAAACCTTCTCTTTGTACCTCCCTTTGAAACGTACAGAGCTGGTGATCTACTAACACATCAACACCCACACACCTTAATGTGAGTGGATTTATCATTTGTTGGATAGTCCTTGCTCTCCTTCCCAACAGGTGGAATGCAAAACCCAACCAGGCAAGGAGGAAGGCATAAATGGAAAGAGAACTGCTACCGGACACTTTCGTTCAGAACACGACAGGGTCGATTCCCTCCTGAGATATGGCCAAATTAAGATTTAGCGACAAGCACTTGTGCAACAGCTGGTAAAAATAATAGATCATTTATTTTTTTTAACGTAAAAATAATAGATCATTTATTTTTTAATGTAAAAATATGAGATCATTTATTTTTTTTAACGTTTGTCATTCAGTGTTGCTTTTTACACATTCTCACTGTATTTAATGAAAACGTTATTAGAGACTCATCTTAGAGGTCATGGCAAAGGACAAATATTAAAAATCAAGTTAAGCTTCCAAGAGAGGAAAAAAAATGTATCAGAACAAATCACGTAGCTCGCAACACAGCTTTGGCCCCAAGTCTGGCCCACTCCTTCTCCACTATATTATTTTCAAACAGGCCGCCTCTGCCCTCCCTGACTGCCAACCAGTGGTGCCAGGCTGTGACATCACCACACGCCCGCTTCACATCTCCCATTTCAAGGCAGTTTGGGATAAAATCATACGATAATTAGCGTACGAACGCCGTAAGCCATAAAATCGCCTGGGAACAATCTTAATTTACACTGTGGAGTTCCAGTCAAAAAATGTTTTGAAACTTTGTAGACACAGTAGGTTTCAGCAAAAAAGCGCCGCCTTACCGAGCGCGCAGAGGCTTCGGCTGCACACAGAGCCTCCACAGCAGCGGCGGCGCAGGCGCAGCGAAACGCAAGGCCCCGCCCCCCCGCCAGCGCCGGGGCCGCACTTGCGCAGTCGCTTCCTTCGCGGGCCGCTCAGCCCCGCCCCTCCGAGAGGCGAGGTTCCCAGAAAGGCACCAGGCGTAGAAACGCTCACGCGCGAGATGCGGCCGCGCAGGCGCAGTCAGGGCCCCCTCGCCGAGCCGGAGGCCTTTCCCGTCCCGGGTCCGGGGTCTGCGGGTTGCGAAGTGCCGCTGTGCCCCGCAGGTGCTGAAAGGCTGGGGTCGTGGACCCCCGCGAGGTGTCAGCAGCACGGAGGTGCAGGGCGTCGTCGAGGGTGCGGGGCCGGGCGCTGCCAGCGGCGCGCGCCTCCCCGGCGCCCCCGCGCCTGCTCTGGGCCAGGCCATGGCTGCAGCCCCCGTAGCGGCGCCGGCCTCGCAGTTCACCCTGCTGGTGATGCACCCCTGCGGAGGGCAGGACGAGGCGGCGGCGGAGGGCGTGCTCAGGCCGGCTGCGGCCCTGGGGGACGGCGCCGGGACGGACAGGTCCGTCAGGTACCTGTGCGAAGTGGCGGGGGCCGGCGAGGAGGAGGCGGGGGAGGACGAAGCCGACCTGCTGGACACTTCGGACGCCCCGGGGGGAGGCGAGAGCACGGCTAGTTTGGAGGATCTGGAGGACGAGGAGACGCCCTCGGGGGGCGAGGGCGGCGGCGGGGGGGCCCGGAGACGGGGCAGCGGCGGGGGCAGCATGAGCAAGACCTGCACCTTCGAGGGCTGCAGCGAGACCACGAGCCAGGTGGCCAAGCAGCGCAAGCCTTGGATGTGCAAGAAACACCGCAACAAGATGTACAAGGACAAGTACAAAAAGAAGAAAAGTGACCAGGCCCTGAACTGCAGCGGGGCCGCCCAGCCTGGCAGCGCGGGGAACGTCAGACTGGAGGTATCGGACCTCAGCCGGGGTCTCGGGGCGCGGGGGGGGCTTCCGAGACTCTCCACTCTCACCTGGGCCAGGCCGCCGTGGCTGGACTTGGGGCAGAGACTTAGGGAGTGCTTGTCCCAAGTTAAAGTTGATACACGCGTGTGCAGAGCCTCAGCCGTCCCGTTGCAGCCTGTGAGAGATGAATACATGTCAGGGGAAATTTAGTGACACATCCGCACATCTGGTATCTGACAGCTCTGGGATACGGGCTGGAAGGGCAGGTGGTGAGTGCGTGATCTGGTTCATCGCTAAAGGAGCAGGCAAAGAGACTTCGGAAACTAGATGAAATTGTACTTTAGAGAGGGCAGTGTCTTCCTGATTCCGTTACCCTGTCTATTCACAGCGTCCTGTTACAGTATCCCTGTTTAGTACCCTGCTCTCAGTACCCCTTTGCTTAGTACTCTGTTCTTAGTGTCCCGTCTCTGTTAATCATTCTTTGTACTCTGTTCTCAGTAACTCTCTTCTCAGCCTTACACTTAACAGACCTACCATCAGTACCCCTGTGCTTAGTACCCTGTACTTAACCCTGTTCTCAGTACCCTTGTGCTTAGTACCCTGTTCTATCTATCCCTTTTCTTAATGCCCCTAGAAAAGACAATGGAATAATAATGGCATGTAAGTCTCACAAGATTTTCGGAGTTTTTGATTTGAATTGTATTGAAGGTTAAAGCCAGTACTCTGGTGTTGGACTTTGGGCTGCAGATCTCCATTCCATCATCATTTGCTGGCTGTGTGGCCTTGAACAGGTTATTAAACTCTTAGAAGCGTCAGCTTCTTCATCTATAAAGTGGATATTAAAGTGGTACCCGGTTCGTAGTGTTGCAGTGACTGTGTGAAATAGTCCATATGGAGTGTTCACACAGTGTCTAGCAGATAAAGTCAATAAACCTTAGCCACCATTACTGTCATTTGTTAATGCTATACGTGGAAGTTGTTACAGATAAGCAGATATTTCATCCTGTGTGTCTTCCTCCTTTTAATATAAAAGGTATGGTCCCTCGGTACATTGAAAAGTTGAATTCTGTTAAAAATGATCCAGAAAAAAATGTAAACTGAAAGCAGCCCTAGGATGTATTCTTTTTTTTTTTTTTAATGTTTTTTATTTATTTCTAGGAGAGAGAGAGAGAGAGAGACAGCGTGAGCAGGGGAGGGTCAGAGAGAGAGGGAGTCACAGACACTGAAACAGGCTCCAGGCTCTGAGCTGGCAGTCAGCACAGAGCCGGACGTGGGGCTCGAAGCCATGAACCGTGAGATCATGACCCAAGCGAAAGTCGGACGCTTAACCGACTAAGCCACCCAGGCGCCCCCCCTAGGATGTATTCTAAAAGTCTTTACATTTCTTAGTTTATGCTGGACTTGAACAACCACCTCATTGCTAAAATTTTAGACTCTGGAATTATTTACAAATGTAATGTTCTAAGTATTTTTAAAATCTCTAGTCCTCAGCATGTCACACTTAATTTACACTGATTAGGGCCTTAGTGACTTCTCTTTCCCTTTTATCTTACTGAGTCTTAATCTGTTTAGGGTAAAAGGATTCATTTGAGAATTTGATAAAATCTAATGAACCCTTTTTCCAGAAAAAAATATATACATATAGGTATTTGATTTGCATACACATTATAGAGTTCAGGACCCCTGTGGACCTGGACCTGTATCCACATCCCTAAAAAAAATGTATTTTACCAAATCTTAGATTACAAGGAATTATGGAAATAAGCATTTCACTTATTATAGAATGAAAAGTAAGGGTAATTTTTTTTGCCCCCTATATGTTCCAAAGTTACTCCTGTGTTTCAAATTCACTGAAGAATTCTTGACAGAGAGAATATACGTCTTTTCAAGAAAAAAGTATTTTACCTATAGCTACTTTTTTCTTGTAACTGTCCAGCTTTTACATCTACAGTTTGAGGAAAATGTATAAAAGGCAAATAGATACTGAATTAAGTCTCCTCCTCTACCTCCCACAAAAAGAATCTTAATAATTTTCCTATTATAAAATAATTTGCATGATTTTTTAGGAAAGAGAAGTAATTGGTATAAGCAACTATCAATACCCTGCTATATCATTTGTCTTATATTATGGGACACTTTACCAGTTCTGAGGAGACTTCAAGAGTTGTAAGTCTTCATCTTTGTTGGACTGAGTGTAAAGAAAACTAACATTGACCATCAGGATATAAGGGCCAACTAGTACCTCTTTAGTAGTGGAAAGGAGGATAGATCATTATAGACTGAGATACTCTAGAAAGGCTTTGCGCAGAAAATCTAACTCAGCATAAGGCAGAAAGGGTGACTAATAGTTTATGCTTAATCATCTTGGAGTCTTATATGCCAGGCACTGTGTGAAGCTCTACATGGAGTATCACACCCTTTAGCAATGCTAGATAGGTGCTATATTTTACATGCATGGAAACTAAGGCACAGAGAGGTTAAGTAACTTGGTCTAGGTCTTACAGCCAGCAAATACTCAATCCCAAGCAGTCTGATTCTAGATCCTTCACTCACATAGTGTATCCTTACATTATACTCCTTCCCTCGAATTTTGGTAACTAAAAGAAAGGAAAGCTCATCTTCGTTTAAAGAAAAAGGGAGGGGTGTGGGAATACATAAGACATTTTTGGGAAGAAACGGGACCACTCTAGCTAAAGTGGAATGTGTATGTGGAAAATTCATGAAAAATAAATTTGGAAAGAGAATTGGAAGCCAGTTTATGTATGGTATTGAATGCCAGGTTATGGGATTTAGGTTTGGAGTCTTCAAATGAAGCTTCTAATTAGGAAATAACAGGAGCTCTACTCTAATGGGATGGTTTAATTTTTATTTTTTAAATTTTTTTAAATGTTTTACTTACTTCTGAGAGAGAGAGAGAGACAGTGTGAGCAGGGGAGAGTCAGAGAGAGGGAGACACAGAATCTGAAACAGGCTCAAAGCTCTGAGCTGGCAGTCAGCACAGAGCCCGACGCGGGGCTCGAACCCACAAACCGTGAAATCGCGACCTGAGCCAAAATCGGACGCTTAACAGACTGAGCCACCCAAGCACCCCATCTAATGGAATGGTTTAAAGTCAAGGCCTATAGATTTAGAGACTTTAGGAGATCATTATAGTAGGACTGATGGGCAGTGTTAGGAGTCTTCTGTAGTGTGAAAACCAAATTAGAAATTAAGGTTTTTAATATCATTTACATAAATCAGATTAAATAAGGAACAAAAGTATATAATATTTTAGTCCATTCATCTAAAAATGTGCTATATGAGAGACACATAAAAGGAACTAGGTATAAAATAATTGACTTACTGGTTTGATCATTATCTTTAAATATCTAAATAGCTATCATTTAGAAGAAGCAGTAGGTTTATTTTGCATAGTTCTAAGTAACTAGGAAGCTTAGGTGAAAAGCACAAGAGATGTATATTTCAGCTCGACCTAAATAAAAGCTACATAGATGTTGGAGTTATCTAAAACTAAATGGGATGCCTCAAAAGTTGGTAAACTCCTTAGGGCAAAAGGTGTTGAAAATTTTTGAAAAGGGAATCCCTACATTGTAGAAGTTTGGACTAGCTGACTCAGTTATTTCTATTACAGGTTTCTGTGTTTTTGTGACATTAACATTGTGAATCTACATAGTGCTTCTGGGGTTGTAAGAGTAACACCATCAAGTCAATTTCATTATTCTGTTCCTTGTGCACACAAAAATGAAATAGAGCCACAGGTAGCTAATCCTGTGGGGAGAGAGGGAGGAAGAAGTTATTTTTGTTTTCTCTGGCATCCGAATGTTCTTTTTAGAGTGTTTTTTATTTGTTTTGAGGGTTTTTTTGTTTTTCTTTTTTACATTTTTTTGGCCTAAAAAGTTTGGGGATAGAACACTTTTGCCACATCCAGTTGATAAACTTACCATCATGAAAGAGAGAAAGTGGATATTCTAACAGAGAACCTAGAGACAGAAGGGAAAGAGAATGTCAGGAGAAGAAAACAGCCTCAGTAACCACCTAACTGAAGAGCAAAGAGAGGAGAGTAAATTTACAGTATGGTGTGGCTTAATGGCAAAACATTTGTTGTTCTCTGTTTGCCTAGTTAGAATTTTTGGATGCGGTCAGTATTGTATCAGGTTTTCTAAGAGCCAGAATATCTTAGTTAACTACAACAATATTTAGTTATGCCAGGAAAATACTGAGTATTTAAGATTCTGCAAGGATGCATATTTGGTAGTTAGTGCTGCTGATTTTTAAAGTTTGTCTCAGACTGTTGTTTTCATCTTAGGACTTAACTATTCTGGCTATACCAATAGCAGGAGATTATTTATACCAGGGCTTTCTAGTCTTTTTGAAGCCAGTTTGTCACTTTTTTCCTAGTGACTTCCAATGTTTGAAAGCCTGGTCTTTCAGTTGCTTCTTTAAATATTTTACTGCCCCTTCCATTTCCCATTTAATTGTTGTTACATGGGCAAAAAACTATCAGGGTGTCTTATTAGCTATATGTAAATTGCCTTTGAGTTCACATATTCCAGCCAAAGGCGTGCAAACTTTGTTTTGGCCTGGATGGCTTTATCTGAAAAGAGTGTTTAATTTCCACTTGGCATTTTTTTGTAATATTGAAAATAGCTAACGAGTAACTTTGCTTCTTCCATCTCTGCCCCACTATTGATTTTGAGACCTTCAAGAGACTAGCAATACCAAGTTGGAAATCGTGGAAGGTGAGGGAGTGAAAGGCGTTCTATAAAATTAACTGCCAACACTTTACCTGTGACTTAAAGAGGGATTTCCCCAAAGTTTCACTAGGTAACTAGTAGGGACTAGGTAAGAAGGAAAAGAAGGGGAGACCCATTGATTACATCACTGAAAGCCTACAGTCATGGATTATTATGTTAACTGTTAATCCTGTTTGCATTTTTATCATTTATCCCAGGAAAGTACAGATAACATACTCTCCATTGTTAAACAAAGAACAGGAACCTTTGGGGATCGTCCTGCAAGACCTACTCTTTTAGAACAAGTGTTAAATCAAAAAAGACTGGTAAATATCTGTTTGTAAAGTACTTACAATTATTATCAAAAGTTGTTATAAATAGAATTATGTAGTTTTTGTGATTTTAAAATTGTTAAACAGTCCTCAGGATTGAACTGTTCTTCCACTACATACTAGAATGTCATAATGCTCTCCCAAAACTCTGTGAGCTGAAACACCTTTATTCCTATATCTTCATTGACTAAACCTTGAAAATCTGAGCAAGATGGGGTTTTAAAACAGACTTTCTCTGTACTGGATTCTGTGAGTTATGGAATAATGCTTTAGTGGTATGGAAGTATAATTAGACTACCATTTAATAAAGATCTCTATTATAAATGTGGTAGAAGGCATCAGAATTCAGTCAGAAAACGAGATTATTCAATAAAACAGAAATAATTGGTTACTGATTTGAGGACAAAAAAGATTTTAGCTCATCATGTCACTATATGTCAAATTCCTAATCAAGATTTTTTAAAAAATGGAATTGAAACTTTATGTCAAAAATCTTTTTCTAGCTTAAAAGAAATAGACAAAATTACAAAGAAATGAATACTGTTGTCATAAATGGTGGTAAAAATGCAAACTTCAAAATAACACATAGGAAAAATCTTTGCAACAAATATAAGAGACTATGATTAATATGGTTGGCATTTTTAGTTTACAAAGCATATAAGTTGATGAGGAAAAAAATGGGGCTTTAATACATTGCAAAAAATCTGAACAGGGGAGAAAGCAGCAGAAATGCCACCATTTAATGATTTGAAAAGGTACTCAGTGTCAGTAAAAATCACACAACAAACAGTACAACAAATGAAAATTATGTAAATGATAACACACAGTGATGTTGAAGGTTCCATGAAACAGACACTTCGTTCTTTTGATGGTATCCTATTTCGGTATGATCAGACTTCTAGAAAGCAGTTTGGCACTACGTGTCAGCAGTCTCCAAAACAGTCATTCCTTTAGCTCAATAGTCATACTTACTGTGGAGATATTTGCAGGGAATAAATTCTACATACGGATAAAGTTAAGCATAAAAAATTTTGCTAGAAATGTAATTATCACAATTGGTAAAATTGTAGTTTAAACAACCTAAATGTTCAACAGTCTCATAATTAACTGAGTAGACTATTGTACATTTACTTAACAGAATTTTAGACTATCTTTACAAATGAATGTTTTGATTCAAGTATAGTTGACTACAAATAAGTTTTAAACAAAACGTATAACTAGAAAATGTGCTGTGCTCCAATGTTAAGGTTTTCTTTTTCTTTCTTTTTTTTTTTTAAGTTTATTATTTTGAGAGAGACAGAGAGCGGTCTGGGGTGGGGACAGAGGATTTGAACTGGTCTCTGTGTTGACAGCAGAGAACCTGACATGGGGCTTGAACCCATGAACCGCGAAATCATAACCTGAGCCAAAGTCAGACATTTAACTGACTGAGCCACTCAGGTGCCCCTCTAAGGTTAAGTTTTAAAATCAGTATTCAATGATATTATTTCCAACTTGCTTTTATCTTTTTCAATGTTTTGGAACCAAATTTTTTTTTCCTCCTCAATTTGTGTAAGTATTTTATTATAGTAAAAGCATACTAACTATAGTCTATTATAGTTATATGACGTTAACTCTATTTAAAGATGATAGTTGTACAAAACTGTATTTTTTGTTTTTTTAGATCAGTCATATTCTGTCTTTTCTGAAATTTTGGTAATGTGCTAATACTACTTTTATTAATACCTACACATCCATACACATACACACACACACGCTTTAATTTCTTCAGAAAGACTTAAGAGGCTAGTGGGAGAAATTGGATCCTTAAGTGGATTTCCACAGTGGCATCTGCCACTTTCACATGTGGTTCCTTTCTGTATCTGTCGTCGTTTTTCTTGCTATCATCCTAGGCCAGTGCTATTCTTGGCTATTGCTCTTATGTTTCATAGACAGTATATATGCTGGCACATCAATAAAGCATTTCCTATGTGTTCAAAGTCACCAATAAGACCAGGCTTCACCCATTATTTTAGTATTTTGATGTATGACATCAAATTTTATTATTATTAGTTTGCAGTTTAATTGCAGTGCATCCGATGCAAGAGTGAATGCAAAGCCATGTTTTATAAGCATGTTGTGCCTTGTGTAGGAACCTAACAGTAATTTTATAGCATGTGAAGACAATCCCATAATAATAATGTGAATAAATATATTTTTTTCTTTTTAAGTCATTACTAAGAAGTCCAGAAGTGGTGCAGTTTTTACAGAAACAGCAACAACTATTAAATCAGCAAGTTTTGGAGCAAAGACAGCAGCAGTTTCCAGGAACATCAGTGTGAAAGACTCTATCAAGATCTATGTGCTTTTTATTTTGTTGCAGCAGATGGACATATTTTTATACTAAGATAAATGGGGTACAACATGCCGGTGAAACATAAGCCATCATTTTCCTGTAAATGTATGTGTGCGTTTGGGGATAAATAAGTATTGCACTTTGTGCATCTGATTCTTTCAGATTTCCGTGAATTTGAAGAAACAGCTTATCATTCCAAAATAACATTTAATTATAGTTGTTTTTTTAAACAAAGTGTTCCTCTTCAGTCATCATTACTGAAGTTAATGGAACAGTCACTTTCTGTGGAAGTCATAAAGTTAATAGATCCTAATCTTTGGTCATTTAGCTCAGTGATTCTTATCAAGGGTCAGCTGGAAATGTATGGGTATGTTTTTGGTTGTCACAGAGACCTTGAAAACTCCTATTAGTTTTTAGTGAATGGGTCAGGAATGCTAAATGTTCTACAGTATCTGGAATGGCCTTTCCTGACTAATAATTAACTTACCCATAATGTCCTTCTCTCAAGAAACACTGAGAGTTGTGATACCACTTGTGACGATGAAATGTAGTCAGAGCACCTAGAATTGAGTTCGTGTAATAAATAACCTTTTCTTTGCAGTTAAGACTAGAGCTGTCAAAGAGGTAAGCATATTTTAAATGTGTAAGGAAAGTGATCATTGTTACTGTCTGTGAAATTAGAATGTTCATTTCTTTTCAGAAATGTGCTGGTGAAACTTAGGAGAAGGGTTATCTAAGTACACTGGAATGAAAGTGCCTCCTCAAGTTGGCTTCTCACTCCCAGTTACCTATTAGTGTTGATCTCTTAAGCAGACTTAGGTGTTGAATATGTGAACAGTATAGATGCATCTCATTCCACCAATGTCAGGACAAAAAAAAAAATTAATACTCATTTCCTTTTCAAAAAGAGATTCTGAAAGTAAAAATAGCACTCCCAACATTTTGTCAGTGTTTTCTGAAACTGAGCTAATTTAAGATCGTGTTAATCCTAAAGTAATGTTCACAGAATGATGGGTAACTGGGTAGATAAATTTTTTCTTGTATATTCTCCTAGGCAGATTTTTAAAAGGCAAACCTACCAATAAGAGTAACAAATCAAATGTCAAGAGAGGATTTCCAACGTTAGATAATAAATTTATGTCTTAAGTTTATGCAAAAATGTGATCATTTCTTGGGTTTTAAGCCCCGAAATATATATCAAGTTAAACGTAGTCACGGCTGTTCTAAGAAGTATTTACGAAGAGAAAGAGTATTTTTGTTTATTTTTTATGTGTGTTTTTTACTTATCTGTGCAAAAACACAGATTTTACCAAAATGATCCATTAAAGCCCACTTGTTGACCTTTTGAGTTGTTTGAGTCATTTATTCTTCAGTTTTTTCACTCTGGATGCAGAGGAACTCATTTACACTTGTTATTAACGGTTAGTTCTCTTACTTACGGTGTTGGAGCTTTACTGGATCCCTACAATGTCAATAAACTTTTATGGTGAAAAAAAAATCAGCTTATCCTTCAAATAGGTTAGGAAATAGGATACAAAAATAGCAAAAGTATTCGGCCAAGGAGTGCTGAATTAAAATAAAAAAGAGATTGAATTTATGTATATATAAGTATCTATCTCAACATATACTTACAGATAAATCACTAAGGCGATAAGATTTTTACTTATTTGGGGATAGATTTATTGCATGTGTCACTATTTGTTTATCCCTCCATGGACTCATAGCTTTTACAATATGGCTTTGCAGCTGCTCTCACCAGGAAGTTGACATTGTTTACCAACCCCTTCAATCTGAAGGACTGGCTTTATGACTTTTTCTAGCTAAGAGCCTGCATAAGAAATAATATTATGCCAGCTTTGAGTAGAGTTCCAAAGATTTTTGAATACTTGCCCTTGTTCTTTTAGAACCCTATTCAGCTGCCTGGGTAATAAGCCAAGCCCAGCCTCCTTTGCTGGGCAAGGAGACATGGTGGCCTAGGCGCCTCAGTCACCAGTAACTAGTAAACAGCCAGGCGTGTGAGTGAGGCTGTGCTAGACTAGCTACCCCCCAGGCAGCCTGCCAGCTGCCCAACCCCAATCAGCCGAACCTAGCCCAGAGCTGCAGAGCCACCCAGCTGACCTATAGAGTTGTGAACAATAATAAATGTTTCTGATTGTAAGCCACAGTGTTTTGGGGTGATTTGTTACACAGCATTCTTGAGAGGAGGTAACTGATAACACCTAGCTGTATAGTTACTGCTGCGTAACAGATCACCTCCAAATTTAGTGATGTAAAACAATTTATTATCTTTCAGTGTGTGTATGATTACTATAGTTTTAAGTAGCTGTACAAATACTTTGAAGCGAGGTATGGCAGGCTGTACTTTCCAGAGATGACCACAACGTCTCCCAACCCACATGCTCTTATGTGATGTGGCCCATCACAAACTGGGTGTTAGGAGTGTCTAGGTGGCTCAGTTGGTTAAGTGTCCAACTATTGATTTTGGCTCAGGTCATGATTTCATAGTTCCTAAGATCAAGCCTCGTGTCAGGCTTTGACGGTGCGGAGCCTGTTTGGGATTCTCTCCCCCGCTCCCACCGCTACCCTGCTTGCATGTACACATACGCATGGCATGTGCACTCCCTGTCTCTCAAAATAAACATTTTCTTAAAAAACTTGGATTTTATTTCGCTACCCCCTTGAATTTGGGCAGACCCTGTACCCACTTTAACAGAATATGGCAGAAGTAATGCTGTACTAGTTTGAGGCTGGAGGAAAGAAGACACAATGAGTATATTTATTGTAATAATAGCATAAAGGAATTCACAGCTTCCAGCTTCCGTTTTCCAACAAAGTTAGAGGCCAACTGCTAAGATGGAGTGGAGGCGTTGATAAAAAACTTTAGGACAAAGGGAAAAGTTGGGAAGATACATTGAAGTCAATGAGAGATGGCTAATAGCTAGTCACTTGCTAATAATCCCCTGATCATGTTTTTCCCTTCTTCCACAGTAATAGAATTTCGCGTTGGGAACATCGCCACACAAGATAGCTGATTCTCTCGTGATACCCTGCCAAAGGATCCAGACATAAATGGTGTGTGGATGATTCCACTTATATAAAGTATGAACGTAGGTGAAGCTTGCTCTTAGAATTCAGGTGTGGGTCGCCTTGGGAGGGGCAGAGCCCAGGAGGAGGCAGGAAGAGGCTGCTGGGGTTCTGGGAGTCTTCCTACCCAGACGCCGGGCATGCGAGTGTGTTCTGTGTGTTCTGTTAATGAAAGTTCAGCAAGCTATACATTTTATATACATACATCATATACACATGATTTTTATGTTTTTCAGTATATTGTATTTCAATTTTTAAGCGTTTTTTTTTAAGACTTTATCAGCTGCCCTTGCAGCCGAGTGTGACCATGTGAGTAAGTTACGGCCAATAAAGTTGTAGCAGAATGATGTGTGCAACGTCCAGCTAGTGCCCTGAAAAAGAAATTGGGAGCCCACTTTACCCCCTCCATCTTGCTGCTTTACATGTGGATAAAGCAGCAGGTCACCTGTTGGCCAAATGAGGGTAACTTACTGGGGATGAAGGGACAGGACAGAAGGACCCTGTGTCCTTAGATGGCCTCGGGGAGCAGAGCCACCATCCTGGCCTAAAACCCTTTGTTTTGGGGGGAACCTGGGCGGCTCAGTTGGTTAAATGTCCAACTTCACATCAGGTCATGATCTCAAAGTGCGTGGGTTCGAGCCCCACATTGGGCTCTGTGCTGACAGCTCAGAGCCTGGAGCCTGCTTTGGCTTCTGTGTCTCCGTCTTTCTCTGACCCTTCTCTGCTCACACTATGTCTCTCTCTCTCTCTCTCTCTCTCTCTCTCAAAAAAATAAATAAATAAATAAATAGTTAAATAAGAAAAAATAAAAACCCTTGTTTTTGGATGACTATGTGAAAGAGAAATGGAATATCCTGTGCCTGCCATGATTATTATGATGTCTCCATTACATCCAGCCAAACCATATCCTAAATACTACTCTAGGTACAAGGATCACTGAATAAAGATTTGGAATACTGGAAACCAGAGATCTGTAACAGCATTCTGCAGTTACGTGGCAGACGTGACACTTTCATGGGGCTCAACCAGCTGTCACAGTAGGAAAAAGATGTATTACAGGCTTGATCACAGATTCATTTAGTGGAAGAGGAGGACAGGGAAGTTAAGGGACTTTGGGGAGAGTGCTTTCAGTAACAAGATGGAGTTCAGGCTGAGCAGAGAAATGAGGCCAACAGGGAACGGGGTTTTCTGGGGGGCTGCAGAGCCGTGTCAGAAGAATGAGAGCACGAGATATGAAAGCTAGGAAATGAGCAGCACTCGTCACGACGGATTAGTGACAGCCCCAATGCTGTTAGGCTCAGTAACAACACACGTTTCAGTAAAGCAAGCTCTTTGAAATCCTCAGCTCTGAGACGGTTCCCAGGCTTCCACCAGAGGAGTGTGATTCGGAGGGATGGATAAACAAGCCTGTAGGATTCAATGACAAATATCCCTCCAGGAGGGCTCACTCCAGGGAGAAACAGAGTGATTTACTTCAGCTCATCAACCAGCAGCTCTAGCGTATTGCAAAAACTTGCCAAAAAGGGATCATAAAAGAAAAAAGAAAACTGGAAAATAAATAGATGTCTTGCTTCAGAAGTAGTTTACCCGAACTACTGTGGAGAAAAAGAAGGCAACCAACCAGATGGCCCTCAAAAGAACGGCCAAAGGTAATATTGGTCAAAAATTGTAAGAGACATCTAGTGGCTCAGTTGGTTAAGTGTCCGACCTGGGCTCAGGTCATGATCTCGCAGTCTATGAGTCTGAGCCCCGTGTCGGGCTCTGTACTGACAGCTCAGAGCCTGAATCTGCTTTGACTCTGTGTATCTCTCTCTCTGCTCCTCCCCCACTTGCACTCTCTCTGTCTCTCACAAATGAACATTATTTTTTTTTAATTATAAAGTGGTCTATAGTCAAAAGACTTTATTATGAATAGGCAAATATGAAAGTGTTCTAACATCTTACCAAAAATTATATCGATATAGAGATATATTCATACACACATACAAGCTTGTATACAAAACTGGGAGTCGCTTCCATCAAGGAAAACTGGGGCGCTATGGTGTGGAGTAGTAGCAGAATGGGAGGCCCAGTAGTTAGGAGACCATCGTTTATCAAAACAATCATTTGTACTGCTTTGAATTTTTACCAGTGCATGTATGACCTATTCAAAAATGTTTTATTTTTTTTTAGAATGCGAGCAGGGCAAGGGACAGAGAGACAGAGAGAGAGAGAGAGAGAAAGAGAATCTTAAGCAGGCTCCATGTTCAGCACAGAGCCTGATGTGGGGCTCCATCCCACCACTGTGAGAGCATGACCTGAGCCAAAATCAAGAGTTGGACGCTCAAATGGATGAAGCCACCCAGGTATTCCAAAAATGTTTTTCTTACTACAAACTGAAATGAAAATGCTTTTTCCTTTGCTTTCTATTTCAGTTTATAGGAAGAACATTTTTACTAATAAATCTTCATTTCCATATACATAGCACTTATTTACAGTGCAGTTTCCTAACATCCATTCTGAGGCCCAGATCTAAACTTCCCTCCTGGAGGCGCTTGAAGAAAGTAGATTATAACCTGAAGACTGCATGTCAGAATGATACCAATTCTCTAGCATTTTCTAAGTTCCAAAAACAATTCTGCCTACTTACTTGGTCCTTACACAATAATCCTGCAGTGTACTCACAGCGGTTATTTTATAGACGAGGAAGCAAGCTTGCAGAGGTCGTCACTTACCTAAGATTGCACAACTGCAGGAGTTAAATCCAGGTCTTTTGATTCCAAGTTTCTTACTAAACGCAATTGTAAGTAGCGTGAGCCACGTATGTAATCATGGTGAGGCCAGTGCTGTTGGAACACGGACTTTACATTTGACAATGGGTGCACGATCATAAATAAATAGAGCCTTTGTACAGTAACCCTTGACTTTTAGAAACTGTTAAAAAACAAATTATGTACACCCTAATTATATTACTTTTAGAAAGTACTTCCATGTGTTATTCTTTGGAACCTCAAAACATGGCAAGTACTGTCCCTGTTTTTGGATGTGGAAAGAACTCAGGAGAAGTTAAGTGACTTATAAAAGTTTAACTGTTGGATGCAGAGCCAAGATGTGAACTTAAATCTTGTCTCCTTGGTGCGCCTGGGCGGCTCAGTCGGTTAAGCATCCAACTTTGGCTCAGGGCATGATCTCACAGTTCCTGAGTTCAAGCCCCACGTCGGGCTCTGTGCTGACAGCTCAGAGCCTGGAGCCTGTCTTCGGATTCTGTGTCTCCCTCTCTCTCTG